GTGGAATAATTCGTGGAGAATTCCATGACAGAATTTTTGAAATCAAAGTGGAGCTAACTTGGTCTTCCTAAAGAGGGATAATAGCTATGAATGAGATTTTAGCAAGGGGTGGTAGAATCGAGAAACTACAAGCGCAACTTATCAAGACTCAACAAAATATGATTAATCAAGTAAAAAAGTTCCAGGGTGAACAAATGGATCAAGCAAAAAAATTCCAAGATAATTCAACAGAGCAAATGACAAAACTAATGGATATGGTGAGTATTGTGATCCATGGAGAGAAACCCTTAGAGGATCCTGTTGTGAAAGATTTGAATGGGATTATGAATGATGTAGCTGATGCAATAGAAACAAATGACCAAGAACTCGTCAAGAGATGTGGAAATCCAATAAAGCTCCCAGAAAAGGAGACAAAGATCAAGCTAAAGCGAAGCATAAAAGAGGTTCAAAAGCCATTGAACAAAGCTAAGAAAGGCAAAAAGAAAATGATACCTCTCATTCCAATTCCAATCTCATATTCAGATTTATTACCATTTCTTTTTGAAAATGACCTCATAACACCAATTCCTCCAAGGCTTAATACTTATTTGCGTCCATATTGGCAGGGTGTCAAGAATTCATGCAATTATCATTCTGGAGAGTTTAGCCACTCTACGGATAATTGTAGGATTGTGAATTTAAAGGTCCAAGATCTTATAACAAAAGGATTGCTATGTTTTGAAGATGAGAAACCTAAGATCCTAAAAAGCTCAAAACTGGTCAAGAAAGAGAAATTTTTGAATTACTGTCCGTCTCATGATGTTCAAGAGTCAAACATTCAAAGCAAACATTTTGATCATCATTCGCATGTTTAAATAGTTAACATTTTTTGTCTATTAAATCATTAGCGACCCATTAAAAAGAGAATTTTTTTTATATTTGTTAATTTACATCTAAAAATCTTTATTATTAACATTAGCTTAAACAATTTAACTTGGTTTGATACTGTATAAAGAAATTTTTTTCATTAAGAAATGAGATGATACTAACCATCGAATGTCTCCGGATAATCTTCTAATCGCCCCCTTATCAACTGGCAAAGAAACAAGGAATAACCCATTTCCTCCCACCAACAACTTACCACTTCAAGAACTTTCGAAAGCAAGCAAGAACCTAGGTGTTTGTTTTGAAGGTTTGCCCTGCCTTGATCATGAAGCATGCTCTTTACAACCCTACCACGCAGCTAGCCTTGCAAGAAAAGAACCAAACACATCATTTTGATGACATATATATTATTCATCCAAAATTCACGAATCACGTGTACCTGCTATATTCTTTCTAGCATTGCATCTTTTAGTTTCTTCTTTCAACAGGTTTTTGTCTTAAGATAATCTGACAAAAATAGGCGATGGCCAATGCTCAAATGAAACCCGTTGCTTCTCTGCTTTTGTTCCTTAATTTCTGCATGTATGCCATTGTTTGGGGATTGGTTCATGGGCCGTCAATAAAGCTATTGATAACGGTTTTATCATCGGTACGTCACCTTTCAACTATTTGCCTATAATGTATGTTTAAGGCTTTAATTTAGACGGATTCTTTATGTGACACTTGCAGGACCTGGCTTCGAGCTTCCTGCGCATTTCTGACCCATTTACTTCCCCATGGGAAATTCTGCCACCGGATTCTTTGTGACATTTGCTTAGTTAGCCGGGGTTGTCGGTGTAGCATCAGTAATCACCGGTATCAAACATATCCGTTCATGGCATGGCAGTAGCTTGCCATCGGCAGCTTCAGTCGCTGGCGTTGCTTGGACTCTTACTTTACTTGCCTTGGGGTCAGCCTCTTAACTCTGGCATCTGCACACACGTGCTTTGTTTCCAAACTAACTTGAAAATTTTCTTTGGCAGATTTGCATTGTCACACCCCCAATTTCAATTTAAAACTTATTAAATTTAATTAATTGATTTTATGGACTAAACTACAAGTTTCTGAAAGTTATGGGCTAGTTTCAAATATCAAGGAAGTTCAAAGACTCAGCTCTGAATTTCTCTATTTGCTAGTCGGTAGAGGGGAAAAAAAAGGAAAAATGGTGGCTGAGTTGGTTTGAACCCATGACCATTAGATAACTAAGCCTTAGACAAATAGGCTAGGCTCTTGTTGATGTTTTAAATAATTAAAATAATTTTTAATAATATTTTGGTCAGATTGTAAATACCTAACCATCTCCCAATCAGATTAAAAAAACCATTTTCCTCAAAAACAAAGCCCCCTCCCCCACCTTCACCATACTTCGGCCGTCTATAGAGGCTACTGCCGCTATCATGCGCCGACACGCGACCCTACCCCGATTGTCAAACCACCCAAAATTGACTGTTGTTGTGCCTGAATCGCAAGGAAATCGTTCGAGTCTCTCCGTTGTCGATCTCTGCCACCGTCCACCGGTGGCTAACATCGCTTACATCAATCGAAGCGTCGTCACCGTCCGACTAAAATCCCCATGGACGATCTTTGTTAGCCGTCGCCATTAGCCGTGGGGGAGTCGTTTGAAGTTCACCGAATAAACCTAGGTCACGCGTTGATTTTTTTTTCTCGATTTCAACCATTCCAGCCGCATGCTTGCCTCACGCCAGCCACCGTTGTACTCCCCAGGTGGTTCCGATCAAAACTTTACATGTATTGATTTTAACTGTCCGGTTTCGTCCATCCGCCGTCGAAGTAAGAGTTTCAGCCTTTTTCTTTCGATTTTGATGAGTTTAGCTTGATTTGTGCATTGATATGGCTTTGTCATGGTGTTTGGATGCTCCCAGAGCAATCGACTGTCACCCCCGACCCCGTCACTGTCGCCACATGCCACCACGCGCCCCCGCGTGGGCGTGGGGCGTGCACGTATGGCTCCCCTGCTCATGGAACCTCCTAGAACCGGTCTGAGTTAACTCGGACTAAATCGAGTCAACCCGAACCAGCCCGAGTCAACCCAAATCGGTCTGACCCGTTGACTTTGACCCTAATCGTTGACCTGCCCGTTTACCAGACCCGTGGACTTTAACTTTAACTTTGACCATTGACCCGTTTGATCGTTAACTTTGACCAAAAAGTCAAAATTTTAAAAAAGTTATATTTTATGTTTTTTCTACATCCCGAGTCCGAATTCGAAGTCCATTTTATCATATTCTAACTTGAAAGCTTCCAAATTGACCCGTAAAACTTGAACATGCATGCATATTCACTTAAGAGATTTGATTAAGTGCAATTAATTAAAGGTTGATAACTGACTTGTGATATTGTTTAATTAAGGTACCCATGATTCTCCCAATCGTTCGTCTATTCGACCCGGTTTCTCCCAATCTTCTCGTCCACGAGAACCCGTGATTACTTATATGGTTTTGTAAACCTGTTTAATACATCGTTTAGAAATTTGCTCTGGTAGTAATTATGTTATGTAATGATCTAGGTTCCCATATAATTGAAGAGCGTAGTGAAGTTGGTGTTCAATAGATATCTCGGACTGATTCTTTTTGCAAGGTGTATTCCTTGTGTGTCATATACATGTTTTTAAATATCTGCTTGAAGTGTCATGTGCACATGACTGTTTTCTTTGATTTGAACTGTAATGTTGATCTGATTTGACTACTGTATGATTTACCTGGTTTGAAGTCTGACTCTTGATTTACTGTATTTTAAATCATGCTTGCTTGACACATGTTCTATGATTACTGCTTTTACTAGTAAATAAATATATGTATGAATTATGATTTCTTGCTACGATTATTCACTGTTTGAAAATTACTTTCTTCAGGGTACTCTGGGATCTGGTATGAAGTCTCTACAGGTTCAACTCCGATCAAGCTGGTAATTCCTTATGGACCTAAGGCGACCCTTGAGTGGGATCTTGGGCCTAATAGGCCTAGTGGTAAGACTTTATGGACCCTAAGGTACTCCTTTAGGGTCTTAGGGTGGCTCCTTTGTTTTGTGCATTTGGTAAGTCCTTATGGACATGAGGATACTCCCCTCAGGTGGACTCCTACGCTTCGGCTAGGGTAATACCTTACAAACCCAATGTGCTCCCTTAGGTTGGCTCTTACGCCTTTTGGGCCTAGGTTAAGTCCTTATGGATGCATTTCTATGGTGTTCGATTAGAGGGTGATTATATGTTTTAAACTAAAAACTTTACAGTCGTTTTCTTTCCTACAAAATGAACTAATTTTGGAAACTTAACTGTATGTTTTATTTCTACACTGTTGGAACACTCTTAGCTCCCTAGCTCACTTTTCCAAACTTTTCCCCTTTCAGATACTTTTGGATAGGTGCCTTGGACCTGACACTTACAGGATCGACACATTTTGTACAATACATTTTGTTGTAATGTTTTTATCTTCCGAACTACCTTTATTTTCGGTGACATGTATCTATATTTTGAAATATTTGTTTTACCTTTTGCTATTGATGTTAGATTTACTGCGATGCTAATTAAGACATTTTATTTTACTCATTCACTTATAGTTTTATATTTACTCGTTTGAATTTTATCGTTATTAACTATGTTTCTAAAGATGTTATTTATAATATGGATTTAAATTATTGAAGAACGTTTTGAAAAATTTTACTATAATTCACTAGATCTAATCGTAACGCATAGGTCGAGTCTAGGGGTTACATGCATGCAAAGAAATTGAGTTCCAAGTCAAAAATACTCGTCTGGTACAAAACGAAATTCAGCACTTATTCGGTTCTCAACTGAGTCAAACTCTTCAAGTTATGTTTATTGACAAACGTGAATCATCTCTTCTTTTACAGAGAACAATGGAAGCATTTATAATCATCCTTACAGATACACAACTTTTCTACATAGCAGCAATTCACGGTGGCGCATAAAGCTGAAAACATGATCAAAGGCTCTGTGATTGCGTCTTCATTTTATATCGATCAAGAAAAACGGCTTGGTTATAGGTTTCAAAACCAAGCAGTGGTTATAAAATTTCTCCTTGAAGCAGCACTAATAAAAAAACCTGCCACACCAATGTATTAGTTCATGAATGCAAAACTCAGGAAACAAATCTTCAATCATGTACAATCCATGATTATAAAGCAGTAATTTGAAACCTATTATATGTTTTGGCAAAGAAACACAACTATAAATTTGCTGAAACAGATTAAAAATTCACGATACCGACACCGACATAGCAACTATGTTTAGATTACACTAAAAAACCCTGGTATACTTGAGGAAACTAGTACATGCAACCTGGAAAGAAGAACTAGATACAACACAAATCTAGCTAAGAAACTAGGCTGCAAAAGTGCCAAAAAAGAATATACTCAAAGCAAGGAACGAACTAGCGACTATCTGCATCCACAGTATCAGTACCACAAAACGGACAACTGTTTCTCTAGCTAGGTCTGCTGCACATTTCTGTTTTAAGATATCATTGAGCGTTGAAATGAAATAGATGTATAGAAACCAAAACCATGCGACTTTGATGAACTGCTTGTCTACCAAACCCCCATGGACATATGGTTCTGCATTAAAAAGAAAACAGTGTATCAGACAAGATCCAGCTAGTGTATAATTAGACACTAGAAACTGGAAGGAAGACTATCTTCATATAGACATCCCAATCATTAAAATTTGAACTCAGATTGGAAATGGAGGTGAGGTGAAAATACAATTGCCCTTAGGAAGATGAACATTAATGAATAGGGAGGCAATCGATTCACACATAGCGTCCAGGCATTGTGCAAGCAAAAATTTACCAAGTTCTGTAGAGGATATGTGAAGAAAATAAAAATATTATTCAGACAAATATTTACTATACAACAAAACCAACCAAAGAGATAATTGAACATGCTACCAAGTGGCCTTTCATCATTCACTGAGTCTATTTGGTACAACAAAATCAACCAAAGAGATAAATTTTTTTTGAACCTACCAAAGAGATAATTGAACATGCTACATAGTGCCCTTTCATCATTCACTGAGTCTATTTAGTTCAACAGTGAAGGAACAAAAAAGGACAGTAAAGTCAAGGCCACTGAAGATAGCAAAAGAAAACCAGATAGCTAACAAACATTAAGTTCCAGATATCAAGTTGCAGTTATATAATCTTAGTATTTGCATGCACAGAGGATATGAGCAATCCGGCATATCTTAATATGCAGTACCGTAAATTATAAAGGGAAGTACTACACATTCTGAAGCTCAATGGATAACCCAGACCTGCAATTATCTTCCAGAACCTGTGAAAACATCAAACAATCCACAGCAACTTAACACTGAGGTTCTTTGCACCATGGGTGGAGTCGAAGCAACAACAGGCTGTGAACCAATTCAACAAACAAACAACTAAACCTTGTAAGTCAACTTACATAAGGAATGTCAAACCCACAACTTTGGGGAAAAGGGGTCATATATACCTGCTTTTCGGAATGGTCATGAGATTCAGAATGTTGAGTTTTGTCCACCACAGTACTACTTTCAGCAGAAGTAACGGAGGATGAGGAAAATTTTCCTTCATTTTCTCGCAATTCAAACCTAGAGACTCCATTTGAGGAGGGCAATAACTTCTCTTCAATTCTCTTCAACCCTGGCTCAACATCAGGCACTGATTTGTTTGCAGAAACTTCTGTAGCGTGATCCAATTCCTCTTGCACAGATACGGCAGTTTTTACCAAATTGTCAACATCGGCAGTTCCCGCAGCAGAATTACTGTCAACATTTCTGGCTGCTTCATTTTCAACAATCTTCAGGAATTCTTCAGACATAATATTAATAGGCTTATCGTCATTGCCATATGCAGTCACTTCAGAACCAAAATTATAGGCTTCATCTTTTGACTTCTTCTCAGAGGCTTGAGATTCATCATCAGAACTGCTACTACTGCTACTAGAGCTCTTATCATGCTCGATGTGCTGAATGGTGACAAGTGTGCTCTCAAAATTCTCCTTAGGACCCGACTCCCTTTCAATTTTAACAGCAACAACATCATCCGATCCTGATATCACCGTGTTTTCCGCGTCCCCAATGGCCCATTCCGCAGACTTCTCCTCGGCTGCATGTGATTGAATAGGTGAATGCTGCCTTTTCCCTACTTCCCTCTGATTGAATGGATGCTGGTGATTGTGGTCACCCTGAGATGCAGGGGAACCAACATCACCGTCATCACTTTCCCTTTCATCTTGGCTTCTTGGATCCTCATTTCCTATCACCATTTGATAAAATCAAAATAGATCTAATCACTGAGCAAAAGTTAACCAGTCTCCTCTAGTGATGACTCAAATAAACACAATAGAAAATTGAGTGAAGAAATTTAAATTTTATTAAGCAAAGAAAACAGAGCAACTAAAACCAATATTAAAAGGCACCGGTCTATAACTTAAGAAATGGACAGACAAGAATCCTGGAATCCTGGAATCCAATTTATTAATAGCAACAATTCAGGTTAAAATCAAGTAAAAAACAAAGTAAAACAAGAAAATCTAAAAAAGGGAAAGAAGAAAAAGAAAATTTATAGAAACAGTTGTGATTAAAGAATGACAATCCCAATGAAAAGCGACCAAACCAATTAATTAAGGGTATGAAATAGAAAATTAATACTATTAGCTATTAAACATTCAAACCAAGCTGATTACTCCAACTATAAATCTCCAAAAAAACAGTAATTCAAGAACTGAGTACATCGGTATATGGATAACAAGCAAAAGAACCCATCATGAAACTCCACCCCCAACCAAAAAAATTAATGAAAAAAGCAAAGTAAAGTACCATGTGGGATGTTTTTAGGTGATGAATTGATGTTGTTGGCAGCTTGTTCCTTCTTTTTCTTGGCAGCCTTTCTCTTCTTTGAACCTGATGGCATGATTGAAGATTCCCCTTCTCTCTTTTTCTCTCCTTTTTCTCCTTCACAGAACGTGTGTGGTGTCCCCTAATCTCCCCTTCTTTCTCTCTCACATAGCCTGTCTCTCTACTTATCTATTTGGCCCTCTCATTTACTGGCAAATACTAGCTGTATAATTACTTAAATATACTAATATTTAGTAGCTATAGTTTCAGAAATAAGACAAAGAAGTTGTAGCAAAAGCCATAGCGTCATTAGTCGGTAGAATGCAAGATTCTCGTTCAAAAAACGCTCTTTGCATTGTCTGACGGCAATAGCATGTTATATATATATATATGATTATCGATTATAATATATTATTTTATTAAATATCTTTATTATTAAAATTTATAAAAAAAAATTATAATTATAGAATGTTATTTTTTTTAATTCTCTAATTATAAAAAATTACATGAATATTTATATGTTATAAACTCATTTTTTATATTAAAAAGTTGATGATTGTCCAGACTGAATATTAATCTATTAATTATAAAATGATAAAATCTAATCTCATAATCATTTGTGTTGTATTTTATGGATCAATTCTTCATGTACATTATGTCGTGTGCTCGAAAACAATGACGATGCTAATAGATATTATTAAAATATGATTTCTATTATGTCTCAGCCAGTAGGTTAACATTCAACTCATACAATAGTCAATTTTTAAATGAAAAAAAATAAGTTTAGAACATATGAATAGTCGAGTGATCATTTTATAACTTTTAATAATTTAAACATTCAACAAAATAACAGTCTATAACCAGAAGATCATTTAATAACTTTTAATAATTAGTGACTTAATAAAATAATACACTATGATTTTACCATTTTTACATTATTATTCATTTGTTTATTATAGCCACGTAGTATTTATTTTGTTGTCAATGTAATAGCTACTATTTGGTAGAGGTGTTCAAAGAATCTGGAATCGTTAACCGTAACTGTTAACCGGTATAATCGTTACATTTAATATATTAATTAATTGAACTGTTAATATTAAACTGTTTTAGTTAATCGAACTGTTAAAATTGATGGTTAACAGTTAAAGTTACGGTTATAAGTTTTGAACGGTTAACCATTAAGAAATTAAATTTATAATTATATATTTCTAATTTATTAGATTTTTACAAAAATAACTTAATATAATTTTCTATTATTTATAATTTATATATATATAATAAATTTTGTATACAAATAATTTAATATATATATATATATCATTTTTAATTTTTATTTCTTTGAAAATATATAAATATTCTTACAATAATATAATTACGTGTTTATTGTTAGATACTAAGATATTTTGAGAAGTATATAATTACACAGATGTAAGTATGCATTAAGTGCTACACTTTTTATTTTATTCATTTATATCGGTGTAAGTATGTGTTAAGTTATATTTTTTTTGTAGTATGAATTATGAAAATTTTTGATAAATAATTGTAATAGATTAATCGTAGGTTAAACTTATAACCGAACCGTTAATAATAGTTAACCGTTAACAGTTAACCGTTTCTTAATGGTTAAGTTTCAATTAAAAAAATCTCATAACCGTTATAACAATTAATCGGCCTTTTAAGCTAAACGGTACGCTTAACCGTTCATGAATAACTATTTGATTTTGCTTTCTTTTATGATTTTTGGTGTGTGAAGTGTGAACGGGATGGCGTTGTCTTTAAAACGTGGATTATTTATGAAATAATTTGGATTGATGGGGTCCATTTATGCTTATATTTGAAAGATGAAAATGGCTTCAAATATATATATTTAAGAGTAAACTACAATGATGACTATTTAACCATTATTAGATTTCATTTTGATCATAAATATTTTGATTTGATCAATTAGGCTACCCAACTATTTAAATTATTTAAGCAAGCCATCTACCGTTAACATTTAATGGACCAAGTGATGTGAAAGTTAAAATATTTTGATATAATTACACAATTGGTCCATGTTACATCACCCAAGGGGTCCTTGGTTTGATTCCCTTGCCACTCAGTCCTCCAATCGAATGATGACACGTGCCATGACACATGATACCACCTGGTTGTGTAATTATACCAAAATTTTTAAGCTGTCACACTACTTACTCCATTAAATGCTAACGACATGTGACTTGATTGAAGCATTTAAATAGTTAAGTGGTTTGATTGATTAAATCGAAACATCAATGGTCAAAATGAAATCTACCAATAGTTAAGTGGTCATTAGTGTAGTTTATCCTATATTTAAATATATTTGAAATATGTGTACTTGTACTTGTATTTTTTATTAATATAGAGGATGTACAAAACAATATTTGTTTAAAGATAAACTCTCAATCATTTATAGTTTATATTTTTAAACATATTAACTTTTTTTAAAATAAATTTTAATAAGTAAAAATAATTAAAATATTTAAGTTCAATAAATTTTTATCTTAATTAATTTTATAGTTTCCATATTTTAATAGTTTAGTGAATTTTATGAATGAGAAAATCAAAATTGAGAACAAAGTTAGATTTATGATTAAATTTTTTTATTTGAATAATTACTACAATATTTTATGTATATATTTAATATAATTATTGTAAACATATATATATTACCTAGTTTTTAGTGGTCACGTGGCTTTTGGGATTTAATCTAATTGGGTTTTCAGTCGGCAACCCACCAAAATAGTGTTGGTTGATTTGGGTTCAGATAGGAAAGGGGGATCTGAGTTTTTAATTTCCTGCTCTATAGTGGTTTGGTTTCAAAAATATAAACTTAATTACATTTAGAGTAAATTACATGTTTAGTATCTAGACTATTACTTTTGTTCCATTTTATCACCTAAACTTTATTTTTTTTCAAAACCATACCTAATATTTAGTTTAAGTTTCATTTTGATACATGTCATTAAAAACTTAATAGAACTACTGTGCGTGACATTTTTATGTTAAAATTTTTAACGGTATGGTGCCATAATGAAACCTAAACTAAATATTATATATGATTTTAAAATAATAAAATTTAAATGCTAAAACAGAACAAAAGTAATAGTTTAAATATTAGACGTGTAGTTCATTCTTATATTTAAAGTCCTCAAACAAAGAAAACTATTGTGATATTTATTTTTTTTTAATATTTAATGCAATCTTTAAATTATAAAAACAATTTGATCTTTTCATCAGCAAAATTAAATATTGGCCGTGATGATGTTATAATGATAGTTCACGTGTTGATGCGACGGTCTTTAATGATTGATGACATAATAAATTAATTTTTTAATCAAATTTGAGGATCAAATTATTATTTTTTAAGTTAAAGAGTTTATTTAATTTTATATAATAATTATTATTATTTTAAATTTAAAATATAAAAAATATTTGAATATTAAAAAAATTGAATATAAAATTTCTTAAAAATTAAAATTAAAATGTAAAATAGTAAAAAGCACTATTAAAAATAAAAAATTAAAATATATCTCAAACTATAAAATAATAAAGTATAAATTACTTAAAAATTAAAAATATTTAAATATATATATTATACATAATATATAATTTAACATATAAAAATAAGTTAATAATATTTATAGTAAATATAAGAAATATATTTATTTCATAAATTCTAAAAGTTTAATATTTAAAAATATCATTTAAAGATAATTTCATAACCATTTTTACCTTACCTTCGTTGTTTAATATTAAATAAATAAATAATTTAATCTTTTTATCATTCCCAACCATGCCAAAAATGATGATGGGAAAGGAAAATAAATTTCCAGTAATTGTCTCCTCCCCATAAACAAGTATAGATCCTTTCTATATTTTTTGATGTTCAACCTAGCAACAACCCTATAGTCTCGGTGGTGAATGAATTATTAATATTTTTTAAAGTCTCGAGTTCAAACACTAGAAATAACAGTAATACGAGCGTTTAATATCAAATGATTGAGAATATTCTTAAACAAATACTACCTGAAACTTACTTCAGATTTATCAATAAATAAATAAAAATAATGTTTAACCTAGATACAAACCAAACGATTTTATTGTCTACATATAAATAATTTAAACATTTAATTTGAGTATAAAATTTCATACAATGTACGATTTAATGTATAAAATACATAATTATTCTCCATTCTATAAATTTATCAATATCATTTATTAAAATAATGTTAAATTAATTTATAAAGCCAACTCTCATTAATATAAGAGGGATAACAACACTTTTTTATTTTATGACCCAAAGAGGCTCACAGGATTGACATGGCGATCCAACAACGATAAAGACTATTCCCTACAACTACAGGTTGCTGATATTTGATATTATATTGAAAAGGCAAAGCCACCGCAGATACAGACTTAAATATCTTTCAAACATTAAATACCCTCCTCTCCTACTGCATGGTTACCGATGGACGCCTTGCACTCTGGACGGCGGCGGCGGCCATTTCCATGCTGCTGGTTCCGTTTCAGATAATTGCAGTAGTAGTAAATTCTGCAACGTTTCCTTACCCAACTCAGTAGTTTTTTTGCCGCGAGCATTAAGCCCTTGCATTCCCCAATCACTTTTAGCGATCAAGTTTCTGTAATAAGCGACGAAAGGAGCCTTGGACCAATCGGTTTTCACTCTCCCACCTCTCGTCTCCCAATCATCGGCGTCCCACAAGCTGGCGTACACCTTCATTCTCTGCTTATTGGGGGTACGGAACTCCAATGGACTCTTCGTTGCTAAACACTCTTATCGGAACGTTATCTACCAAGATTCTGAATCATCGGAACCAAATGAAAAAACAAAAATATGGTTATTGAAAGTATCTGAGAAAAGAAAAGACCAAGTGCTGACGAAGAAGATTCTTACATGATGTTTCGAGGATTCCATACGATGGAATATGTGTGGAAATGTTTTATTGGGTCGAACCAGAGGTGGAACCCTTCCTCTCTTCCTCCTTCTCCTTGAGTGAAAACGTTAGTATGAAGAGTGTAAGGAGAGCCACTTTTGTTACCCAAGAACTCAAGATCGATCTCATCGTGAGATGGGCCTTCAGAAGATAGCTGCAAAGTTCCACATGGACGAATGTAGAATTTTTTGTTAGAGAGAAATATATTATTAATAAAAAATACAAAGAAAATATATGAAAATTTAAAATCTTCAATAACAACTGCCCCACTAATCATTTTGGTCCATCTCTGCATGTCGACTGCGATGTGAGAATATAGCTGCAAATATATAATTTAAGGAGAGGAACGCACGTAGAAGGTGGTGACAGTGCCGGCAGAGTTGCCGGGAATGAGCCTCATTTGCATGTTGAACGTTCCGAAGAGATAGTCTCTCTTGGACTTGAAACCGGCGCCTCCGGAAGTTTTGTCCATGGTAAGTGTTAGAAGGTTGCCTGGACAAAGTATTCGAGCATGGCGGCCGCCCCATGTTATCTCCACATCTTGATGGAAATTATTGGCAAAAGCTGCAGCGATGAGAGAAAGCAAAAGCACTGATGAAACTCTCAAGTTTCCCATCTTCAAAGTAAGAAATGAGTTAATGTTGTAGTTGAAATCATAGGGGGGAAAGAGCTATGATATATATAGGTAATGACCTGATCACAGGTTGTTTGATATATGACAATTTGAACACATGAATCTTCCCTTCTTCAATATAGATTTTGCAACATGTAATGTATTTTAAAATGGATCGTAAAATATATAATATATCAAATGATTTTAGTAGTTAAGTAGAATGTTATTTTTTTAGATAATTGTTCTAAACTAAATTATTAAAAAAAATGCAAATATAGAAAAAAATTGACCTAGTTTAGAAACAACTTGTCCGAGTAAGGATAAATATAAAAACATTTTTATATATATTATTAATTTTGTTTTGATAAAAAAATATATGTAAAATTTAGTATATCATGTATTAAAAGTTTGATATTAAATTAAACTTTTGAGGGAGATGGTGATCAGATATGAGGTGAATCTAGGAGGTTGGCACCCCCTAAAATTCTTCCTTTTGGACCTTAAAAGAGGGATAAATTGTGTCTATCCCTTAAACTCTTCAAGTATTCATTTTAATCCTTAAAATAAATATCTCTAAATATGATAAATGGAAAAGTATACATTTAGTCTTTCTTAAATAAGGAATAATTGAATTAATTCCTTTTAACACATTTATTATTTAATTTTTACCTCTAATAAAAATTAATAATTCAATTTAACCCCTTTAACACATTTTTTTTAAGTTTTATAATTTTGTCTCACCCAAACACATTTACTTCGTTGCTGGACCAGATGGGTCATTTTCCAATTTTTTATTTGGACAGTTTTACCCAAACTTGCTTTCCTTTAGGGTCTCGACAGATTAAACATATAAATTTATATTGACAAAAGGGTATTTAGATTGAGAGGGGAAAAAAACATGTAACTACCGTTGTTTTGAAAATCGGACAGGACCGGCAGATTCAACCTTGAATCGTTATCTAGTCTAGTTCAATTTAGACCGGTTGAACCGCTACTAGTGAACGGGTCACAACCGCTGAATCGTTCAAATCGGACCGGCTGAAAACCGAAAAAAAAAGGAAAAACCGCCAATTTTGTTTTTTTTAAAAAAAATTAAATCAAACGACGTCGTTTGTTAAACGAGCCAAGTCGAACTCTAGTATTGCTGAGCTCGACTCGAACTTGAAAAATTTAAAAGTAAGCTCAACTCGATTCAAACTCACGAGCTAAAAATTATGAAGTTTAACTCGAACTCGAAATATAATATTGAAACTTGAACTCGAAAAGGTTTGAACTCAAAAAAAAATTTAGAAGCTCGATTAAAGCCTAAAATTCAAGCTTGATTGAAGTGAAAGAATAATTCACTTAATGCTTACCAAAAGGCTTCATGATTTTGAATGCTAAATTATCTCTATTATTTATAGAAGTTAGTTAGGATGATCTTCTATGTTTTTTAGCCATGTGGGATTGTTTTTAAAAAAAAATAAACCAAACAATATCATTTTGTTATGATTTTTTTAACCCCAAATTTATTTTTTAATTATAGTTATATAATTATATTTATTATTTAATATGTTTTACCTTAAATATTATGTTGTAGTTAATTTGAATCATTTTGTTTCACTTGATTTTATGGTTTTTAACTTATATATGTATGGCTTGCTTTGAATATGAATTGTGATATAAAAAATTATTTTTTATTAAATATTTTTGGTATTTTTATTTAATTTTTTAAATAATTATGGCGTCGTCCAGTTCTTCCGATCGGTCGGACCGATTCGATCGGTTGAACCAATGAACCGATAGCATGACCGGTTCGCTAACCGGTTCGGTTCTGAAAACCATGCATGTAACTGAGAATTATTTGCAAAACCTTGGAACAAAAATGACTAACAATGGAATTAACGAGGCAGTAGTAAAATTCGCAAAATTCTTGTAGAAACAGCCATGGAAGAAAAACAATAATCAGAGAATTTGGAAAGAGACGAACAAAAAAGAGAAGCTGAAAACCAATGTTCCTTGGAGCTCAAAACTCTATACAAGTCAAACAGTGTAGCGATTCTTGGCACCTCTGTCATGCTTTGCATCCTCCTGGAAAACCAAATACAAGCACTTGTTTGTTACATACCCAACAGCCTGGCTGGACAAACACATAATATATTGATAATGTTGTGAAAGCAAATTACATGAAATATGAAGCCTATAGTTTCCTTATGATCGAGTATCTCTTTCCACTGTTTCCCGATGCTTATCTGCATTTCGAACAATAAACCCAAGATTGGTTTTTTGGAATGTACAAAAGCCGTTTTTCCTCAACATTTTTACCTGAGCAGTTTCATTGGCGGCATTCTTGGTCCACAGTGCTATTTTCTCCTGCCTGCCTCTCACGTTCACAACTGCTCCGCAGATCTCATCGCCGTAATCGAACTGTTCTCCGATCAAAGCCAGCAACTAGTACAACAGAGAAGTAATTAAGACGTATCTTTTCCATGTATAAACAAGTAGGTATTATGTTTATGTGAAACAATACCGTGTAGAGCCAAGACATATCTGACTTGCCCCTGTGGAAAGTTACAGTCCACTTGCCTCCGTTGGCACAAACGGGGTCTTCCCATTTCGGCTCAATCTTATACTTGAAACAATGCAAGTCGGCTCCCACAGCTAACTTGCTTGGGTGGTGTATGTTGTTGTAAAGACTGTAATAGAAAGTGAATCACGAAATCAGTGATCAATGGCAGCAACATAGGCAAGAGTTAAATTCACATTTTAATGGATTAAAGAACAGATCGCCTTGATAACATTCGATTAAAATGAGGAAAAGCATTTTGTAGGAGATCGCTCCAAGATCCTTACAAAATTCAACGAAAACAGTCCCACTTGAACAGAAATCATCATATATTTCCCTTAGAGGGAAAAAATGGGATGATTCGATTTCTTGATATTATAAACTGAGTAATGACGGGTTGATTTCGGTTTAGGTTTCAATTGATAGAAATATACCAAAAGCGTATACGGAATGATCAAATTCAGAAATAAAATACTAGTCCTAGGAACAAAGAAGAATTGAAAAAAGCCACAATCAAATCATAAACCTTGAAATCAAAATTTTAGGAAGAGAGAGAGAGAGATTAACCTCCAGAATTGTTCGACGGTGGAAAAAGTGTAAATAGCGCGCATGGAGCTACCCCAGGCAGCTTGCCTGGATTTAGCAGACGGATTATCGAACCAGAAGGTCCACAAGTGCTCCAGGAGGTGGGGCTGCTCCACTATATCGTTATTTGGCGAAGGTAACGTCGTGTCTTCCTCTGCACTCTCCACCTCATCATCCTTCAGGTCAGGATTAGGCTTCTTATTCTCTTCTTCATTGATGCTCATTGATTTCCGATTATTTTCCTCTACCCCCATTTTTGTCACCTGTTTCGGATTCTCTCGGAAAATTCTAATTTCAGCTTGATTTTCTGATTACCTAATGGATCTTGTAAATTACTTTATCCCAAACGAAGCGGACTTTCTCTATTTAGTTAGCAACAATTTACCAGTTAAAAACGGCGAAAAAAAACTAATTTGAATGTTTATAAATTCAACTTTGGCCCATAAAAAGACATGTACAAACTCAACAACCATGTATGATGAGAAAATATCCGTGACAACAGAACCCATAGTTTTTTCTTCCTAGGTACTAATTATACTGAAAATCAAGAAGAGTAATAACAAAGTAATAGTAGTAGCCACACTGCCCATGAAAATTGAGATGAACTTTCAGCTTTTCTACATATGTAAATAAATATATTTGTATTTGTTTTAGTTACAAATATCCAGTTTCCTACATCGATCGACACCACGAGGGCTGCTGCTGCTGCAACTGAAACTACTATATTTATGATGGTATTTCCCTCTCTTCACCATCTTCGTTCAGAATTGTGTCCTCGTCTTCTGAATACTCAGCCTTGATGAACAAACCCAACTGTTGCAGTGGATTCCCACGATTTCCTTCATATGATGCTCCACACACCTTTTCAGATTCATTCTTAAGATCATGCAATTGATTATTAGAAAGGGATAATCCACTTAGCATTTCAAGTTCCTTCAAAATCTCCAAGTTCTGCTCAATCTCAGCTGTTTTCTCCATCTGAAAAAGTAGGCATGTGAAATAATCGCATTAGCTGAAGCTCTGTTTCACATTTTTTTTATATAGTACTAGTTTATTACAGTGGTCTAGCGTCTAACATTCACACACACAATTATATATTATACGGACAAAAAGAAAACAAAAGATAAAACCTTTTCCAAAGTAGTTCGAGCAGCTTCTCTTTCTCTTTCTCGTTGCTTTTTCAGCTCAGCGTCTGCCTTCTTTTTTACTGCTGCTTGAGCAGCTAAGATTTGAGTTTCGATTTTAGCCTTCTCTGTGAAGATTCAGGATCATGTATAAGACCTCTAGGCACACTACTTCCCCTCAATTACTAAACCAACTTCAAAGTTAAAACTACCAAGATCATGTATAAGACCTCTAGGCACACTACTTCCCCTCAATTACTAAACCAACTTCAAAGTTAAAACTACCAAGGAAATTGTCCCTGTGTGCACTGAAAGTACTAATATTTCTATTCACTCGCAACACGCACGCATTGATATTATCTCAACTTACAATGAAATATAGATACTTGTATAATATCAACGATAACCCTCAGATATAAACAGACCATCACATTAAACACGAATGGAAGAAAAAGAGAAATTGTAAAATATGGTATTAAATTAATTATTGCATAGGTAGGCATATATTACATCATACTCATGAGATTTAACCGGGAGACACAATCAAGAATACAAAGTGGTTTTTTTTAACAGTTCATAGATTAAAGAAGTTCAAAACCTAAAACGGAAAGTAAAAAAAAAAAGTGAAAAACGTAATTTTAAATCTATACAAATCTCTAAAAACACCAATAGAGAACTTCAGTTTCATCTTTTCAATTCCATTTAATGAGAGAATTGGAAGATTTCTTGTTTTAAGCAGAAAAAATAATCACGGGAAACAAAATAAAAATAAAATGATCAACAATGCGACGAATAAATAAGAACCACAGTAAATGTGAAGCTTGAAAGATCACCTTCACGCTTTCTTTTTTCTAATCTTTCCTTTTCCTGCTGCATCTTCACTGGATCGGTTTTATCACACTGTTTAAAAGGCAGCATATACTGTCACTAAGACGACATGCAACACAAAATTCCCAACACAACACTCAAAATATAGCCTTCCAAAAATTACATGATCAAGTAGTGCCCTCTGCCGAGCTTTCAAAATAGTGTCTGCAAAACGAATTTTCAGCATTGCAGCACGGAGAGCTTTTTCTGGTGACATACGCAAATCAAAAATAGGAGTTGACAACCCTACATCAGATAACAGAAAAACAAATGAAGTGGTTAAACTTACCACACAAGGGATCTAATAACAACCAGAAACTGCGTCCATTACATAAAGCAAAAAAGAAAAAGAAAAAGGAAAAGCTCAATAATTAACATTAGTGGATAAACTGACCTTCACCAGAAGCAGCATCTGTTGCAGTTGTAAGTTGAGAACTGTTACATACATTCTCATCATCCAAATCACTTACAGCCCCTTTAAAAAATAACATTACTCAATGAAGAATCAAGTAGAAAATCACAAAATACAATCAAAATATTCCCTCACCATTAAAATCTTGATCAGACTTGCTCATTTGTGAAGTCAATGTGCTTTTTGCCTGGGAATCCTAGTTTGTTAATATAAAATTTTAGTAACATATTTCATGGCACTAATCATAAGAACGATCTGAACCTATTGCTATAAAAGCAGTACTTTATACCAATTTAGAAACATCAGCGCTACACATTCTAAGATCTCCACCCAATGCTCTTTCTGAAGTCGTATCTACACCGAACAGAAATTAAGTAATGTCTAATGTCCTAAAACTACAAAACGGATGTAGCGCCAGAAATAATCAAGACTAACCACCAGAAGATGCATGGTATGAATCACTTGGAAGACTACATTGGCACTTAATGCTGCCACATGAACTGCATCTGGAGGCACCTGGGCTCACTGGTGGCTTGGCATTGGTAGACCCATTAGAATATCCACCACTACCAGTACAGGTGCCTATAAGACACATTACAAATTAGCTCCTATAAAGAGCCATAAAGCAGAAATTGTATTCTGCCATTTCATACCTTTTAGTAAGCTTTTTCCTGCCAAATTGCTCACACAGTTCTGTGCCAGTTTAGGAAGCTCAACCTATTAATAAGCCAAGAAATTCAGCCTCGAAAGTAATGCAAACTTCTATGGTAACAAACATGAAATGATCAAGACATTACTTCAAAGCCAAAACTAAGATGCTGAGTGCCGACAACAAAATGCCACAATGACTATAACTCTGATTTGCTTTACAATTGTCAATTCCAACATTGCTCTTTAATAATATAATGAATTTACACCAATTCAGAATCCTAAGCAAGCATAAGCATGATAGTTTACAACTACAATAGACAGTTATCACCTCAGCTGCTCTCGCATTCAGAGCAACCTTTGCAACCTTCTCCTCAGATGCCTTTGAGTTCTTGGGAAGAGGACTATTTCTGGATAGCAGTGTTTTAGGTCTAGATTCATTCACATCTTTCAGTTGCATGCGCATAGTTTTCCCTTGCCCAGCCTTAAAGTTTTCTTCATTACATTTCTCCTCCAAAGATTTCCATCTAGCCTCAAAAATATCTTTCATTTCTTCAGCCATTTTATGAACATTGTTGGATGGGGGATTATACAGCATGGCATTAGCAAATGTTAGTCTAATATCCGCCACAAAATCATCAGTGCCAATATAAATGTTCTTTGCTAGCTTGGACTTAATTGTACCCAAATCCATGGGGGTTTTTATTATAGAAAAATAATCAGGAATCCCCAATGCCTTAGGATCCACTGGTTGATTGAAAACCCAAGCAGCTGGATGTTTCAGAAGTGCTTTCAGTAGGGCACAACAATGCTGAGTCATGCAACGGTCCATCTTCTGCCTCTTCTCTGGTGGGCCACCCATACTCTCCCCTTCTGGTCGACGCTTGTGAGCGCTTGAAGTCTCCTTTGAATTTCCAGCAGATGATGCCTTTTTTCCATCACAAGAACTACTCAATTGCTGGCCATACTCATAAGATTGGGACGCTGGAATTGCTTCAACCTTCTGAGAAGAGAACTTGATCTTCAATTTCAGCTTTGGCACAGCACTTCCCGTGGCAATCATTTTGTAAAGCTGCATAATTCAAATCAAGCACCTTTTATATTTTCACTTGGCAGATTCTGGTAAGAAAAGTAAAACGCAGAATAAACCCATAAGCAAAATAAACCATAATATTTTGAGACAGCTACACACTAAGGTGGCGTTTGATTTGCTGGAATGTTTATAAGAGAATTGGAATCTATTAAGGAATTGAAATCTGTAAGAATTGAAATCCAATTCCATATTTTGTTTAATTGGCAGGAAATGGAATTAGAACCCAATTCCATATTCTGTTTGTTCGCAGACATGTCAGATGAATTTGATTTCAGTAATGTAAAATGACAAAATTACCTTTCTTGTTTTTTTTGCTTTATTTTAGTTTATTTTACAACTTACATGTAGTAATATATTATAAAAAATATTAAAATTTCATTTTATTGATTGATTATTCATTTCAATAAATTATAAAAATCATGCTAATAAACATTATAAGTTAAAATCATCGCAATCGAAATATATTAATAAGTTTCCAAAAGATAGAGCAATATTTCGATACATTCCAATCGGAATATGTTAATTAGTTACAAAAAAATATACCAAAAATTATTTTTATTCAATATATGAATTAGAAACTCGACCCGACACGACTCAAAATAATAAAAAAATTATTTTTATTTAATAAAAAAATTATTTTTATTTAATAAAAAAAATTGACTTAATTAAAAAAAATTATATATAGAGAGGTATTATTGTAATTATTCCTAACTATATAACGTAAAATTATATATTTGTTCGAGTTGGTCCGATTTTTTTACCTTAAACCTGAACCCGACCTGACCCGAATATCATACTTAAAAAACTCGACCCGACTCGACCCGAATATCACACTTAAAAAACCCGACCCGACCCGAACAAAATAAAATTTCATCAGACCCGACCCGAATATATGAATTAGAAATCCGACCCGAAATAATAAAAAATTATTTTTATTTAATAAAAACAGTGACTTAATCCAACCCGACCCGAATTATATATATTTTCGAGTCGGTCCGGTTTTTTTACCCTAAACCCGAACCCTACCCGAATATCACACTTAAAAAAACCCGACCCGAATGTCACACTTAAAAAATCCAACCCGACCCGAACAAAATAAAATTTCATCCGACCCGACCCGAATATATGAATTAGAAATCCGACCCGACCCAAAATAATAAAAAATTATTTTTATTTAATAAAAACGGTGACTTAATCCGACCCAACCCTAATTATATATATTTTCGGGTCAGTCCGATTTTTTTCACCCTAAACCCGACCCGACCCGAATATCACAATTAAAAAAACCCGACCCGACTCGACCCAAATATTACACTTAAAAAACCCGACCCGGCCTGAACAAAATAAAGTTTCATCCGACCCGACCCGAATATATAAATTAGAAATCAAACCCGACCCGAAATAATAAAAAAATATTTTTATTTAATAAAAACAATGACTTAATCCGACCCGACCTGAATTATATATATTTTCGGGTCGGTCCGGTTTTTTTACCCTAAACCTGACCCGAATATCACACTTAAAAAAACCCGATCCGACCCCACCAAAATAAAGTTTCACCCGACCCGACCCGAAATAATAAAAAAATATTTCTATTCAATATATGAATAAATTACCAAAAGATTAATGAGGGTAGTATGATCAAATTTCAATTTCCTCCAACAAGGTAATTCTCTTGAAAAACTTGAACCAATCATGGGAAAGTGGTGGAATTAGATTCCAATTCCCACCAATTCCAAGGGAGTCCATCCAACCAAACGCCATCTAAGTATATGAAATCAAAAAATATAAAAAAAAAACATTATGAAACCATTTCTATTAGCAGGCAGGACAAATATCAAAAGAATCTGATCAATCAGAACGTTTATTACAAATTCATCATACAAGTACTATGGATTCACAAAGAAAACTACAGGGTAAACTAAAGCTTTCAACCAAAAAAGTAAACATAACCTAACCAATTACAATAGGAGTTTCTTCATGTCTGTTAAATCAAAAAGAGCATTGGGAAGAACAATAGCACAAACCAATAAACAAATAAAGTGCATACCCCCCATGAGATTCCAAGCCATTAGACTTATTCTTCTTTTTTTACTGATAAGCTGGAAAATAAAAGATCTTAGACATACCACGTAGACCAACGAACACCATTTGAGACAAAGGCAAAGAAAAAAATCCAGTTTTGGATCAGGCATAGAAGTTAGATCCGATTTAAACCGACAATTCGGTAACTGACACAAAACAGTACAGAAATATCACAGGAAAATGGAAATTAAGATGAAAACAAAATACAATCTAAACTAAGAGCACCGCTGAAGTAACTATACTGAATTAATCAGAAATTCGTAACAAAAACCTAGGGCAGAATCATTCATTCGGGATTTCAATTCACCAAATCAAAGAAATAAGAAGATTCAAAACCATGAAGACAATGAAACTTAAGTTAGAGTTTTGTCGAACATACCGGAAATCAAGCCACACAAGCGCCGGAAGAACTTTGACTAATTGATCGATTGATAGATCGATTCGACGACAAGCGATCTAAGAGAAAGTTTAAAAAAGAGGAAAAAAGAAAGAAAAGGAAGAGAGAACAAAGCGAGAAGAGAAGAGAGAGTGAAAGAGAATTTGCTAGGGTTTCATCTCTACACTGCTACTCTTACTCCACTGCTTCGATATAGGAGGTGTAAATCTCAGCTAGGGGTTTTATAATCCCTTGTTTTTATCTCTGTACTGTACGTTCGCTTTTGCAAATTAAATTTACTATCTTAATTTTCACATCAGAATATAACATAAAGGTCAAAGGTCTGTGCATAACTAAATGACAATTTTGCCCTAGGCTTGAATTTCGGTTTGGTTACTGTTGGTGTTGGTTTAAGATGTAATTTCCAGGTTACGAGAGTATTATTTTCCAAATTGTAACGGTAGGCTTACGGGAAATATAACAGCATATGGTTACATCTTGTTGGTTTTTTTTTATTTTATTTTTGAATTGAATGAAAGCCTAGGCTAATCCTGAGGATGTCTCCTTGCGTCGAGATCCAGCAGGTGAGCAATATCCGTTGGGGGAGCTTCATTGTAGATTACTTCAGAAAGATTAGAGGGGGTCAACTCGGTTAAACTATCGGCTACAGAATTCCCAGTACGTGAGATCTAACGAATGTGAGTCTCTCAAGTATAGCTACACCAGGTTGCTATAGATCGAACAAGGGATAGGGGGCGGTTGATTGCATCATTTCCATTAACAAGCTTGACTACTTGAGCACAATCCGATTGAATTTCAAGTCTCGTAACACCTTTTATTCCACGTCATGCGTGGGCCTTCACAAATCCCCCATAATTCAGCATGAAGGATTGAAGATATGCCCAGATTTTTGCTGAAGCCGAAACCCAAGAGCAATTAGGATCCCGAAGAACCCCTCCATCAGTGCCTATTCGGTCCGATGAATTAACACCTCCATCACAATTCAAGCAATACCATCCATCGGGTGGTCTAATCCAGCCATTGTAATTGCGAGGTGCAGCTGCAGCAAAATGGTTTCCTGAAGTAGGGGATTTAAAGTGTTGAGCCCAACTGTAAACATGTTGGTAAGTGTCCAACAAAGGTCTGGTATCACCATTGAAAACACCATCGTTGTGTCGCTTCCAAATAAACCAAATAAGAGAAGCAAAGAGACTGGACCAAGGAACCTCCAAGCCTTGCGGTGTGTTCATATCCGCAAGATTAGCGGTGAGCCAAGGGACCAGATCAGTGGTGAAGAAGTTAGTAGCGATCTGGGCGAGGAGAATATCAGACCAGAAAGAGACAAACTCAGGCAGTCACGCAAAACGTGAAGGACCGTTTCATGGGTAGCATTGCAAGTAGGCAAGACGGGTCCGACCACAGGTTCCTATGGACTCGTTCACTGTTCGTCACAATTTTTTGTTTAACCGAAAGCCAAATAAAAAGTCGAAGGCGCTGCGGGATTTAAAGAGACCAGAAGAATTTCCAAATGACACTGGGATCATTCCAGCTACCTTCAAGCAGTTTACAATAAGCAGATTTGATGGTAAAAGAAGTTTCAGGCCAACGCCAGACAAATGTGTCATCAATATCAGATTGTTGAGGAGGACGAACAGCGAATAAAATGAAAAGAAGATAATCCTCACGTGACAAGCTTCCAATGGAATGAATGGTAGAGATTGATCTAAGGATGCTAAACTTATCTCTCATGCATATTTAAGCTATCTAATCTTTACTTGCTCGACAGAGCTTTCCTAAAATGTTCTCAAAGGAACCTAGCAGAATAGGATGCCAAGGCATCTGCTTTCACTCAACGATGTTGGCCAGCCTACCCTATTGATAAAGATTCTCTTTTTAGTCGTTGAAATCATATCCTAATCTCTCCCGAGATCTAAGGGATTAGATTATAATATTCCTAGGCCGGTTCAAAGCCCCTAGAAAATACTATAACTCATTGCTTATGAGGATATTGTCTTGCGGTTCTCTCAAATACTTACAAGTATTTTTAGCTTAGGTTTCTCTCGAATACCTAAACTTCATCTAAGAAATGAACAATTTCATGCCTCTTACAAGCCTAGATGGTGAAGCATTCATAAGCAAAGCAAATAAAGAACCAAAATAAACTTAAATATACCATAAAAATAAAGTCTAAACATCCATTAAACCTACCACCACCAAATAAGTTAGTTCATGGTGGGGTTCGAAATATCCAAACACAAAGTCATGCAAATATTCGTTCCAACAACCCACAAATAAATATAAAAATAGCAGCAAAAAGGGATGTGAGAAGTAGCCTTCGACGAGCCACCGGAGGTCTCCTCGGCCACCACGAATCACCTTAGCTCGCTAGTTCCTCTCGGCACCTAGCTCGCCACTCCTTGGAGCTTAATCAATGGAGGAAAATCCAAGGAAGAAGAAAAGGAAAAGGAAATAAAAATCTGATTTTTTTCTGCTCTATGCGTGTGCCTCTTCACGTCTTTTTTGTATTGTCCCCTTGAGGTGTAATATATAATAAAAATATCTAGGGGTAATAATGAGGTTGTTGGGTGCAAAATACCCCTCATACCCCTAGAATCACATGTAGTGCGTGAACCTTATCCTCCAGGTGGCAGTGGTCCCATAGCAGCTCTGGAAGGCGGTTATAGCAATCATTTCACGTGCAGAGCCAGCTGTCCTCGTACAGCTGTATCTTTTTGTCGTTTTCTGCGCTAGAAATGCCAAGGCATTTCAATCTGCTTCAGCAACGTGTGATGCCGCAACATTACTTCCCATCTAGTCCTTTTTGCTTGCTATTCCTTGCACACCACAGACAAACTGTACATTTCCTTCAAGCAGCATCATTAAGAGATAAAATAGCACTACCACCACAAATGTAACTACATGATCCTAAAATGCTTAAAATGAGCTTTTAAACAAACATTAACTTAAGTGAAAAATACCTTAAAAGTAGCCTTTTTAGGAAGTTAACACATGGAGTCCCTGACGGCCGGACGTGAAAGGCTTCCATTCCCCAACACTAACCGCAAATGAGATACGATGGCCCAAACGTTATTGTCACGCCCTTATAACCTTTAAACCTAAAGTGTCGTAATATCAGATTTAAGGTCTAGCGAAACGTGCGGCCTTAGACGCTTCTTGATACTTCTGGGTCTTCTCTGTTACTAAGTAAGTCTTACCCAAACCTAGTGAGCATGCAAACTCACTAAGGTTGGAACCAAGCCCTCAAGACTTATAGGATGCAGAAGCTTTAACACCAACGTGGCTACTCCAAGCCACCAAGGTTGGACTATAGTGTGGAAGTGCAAACACAAGCGTGATTATTCCAAGCCACTAAGAGAGACAACAACACAAAGAGACTTGGGAACAATGCATACAAGAGATAAAGTAAATGCCTCGTAACTTTATTACTCCCTCAAAGTTACTCTTGTCTTGCTTTTGTGCTTGCTAGTTCTCTTATTCTTTGCTTCCATTAGGAATCTAAACATCTTTGTTTGGATTGTTTTCAGGCTGACTTAGTTGCTATCACAGAGAAAGAGACTAAGGCCTCACGTTCTAGGCGTTGAAGCTCCAAGGACGTGACATTATGGATAAATAAGGAGAGAGTGGGTCTCCTTGGCGAACACGGGAAAAATTCGCTAAAGGGAACCATTCCACTGAGATTTTGATTATAAAGTTCACACGGTTTCGTACCGTGTGGAATAAAAACGGATGAATTAAATTTGATTCAATTCGAAAAATTAATTTTTTCAGCTTGTAATTAGAAAAAAATTCGACTTGAATTGATTTCAAGTTGTAATTTCAAATACTTGACTTGGCTCGAAAATATTTCAATTTCTAGTTGAGTTATAAAATACAACTCGAATAACTTGAAATTTTTAGTAATTATTGGATTTATTTTTAAGTTTGAGTCGAATCCCTTAACTTTTATAATATATGTATATTACATATGAAAAGAATATGAAGAAATATATGTGTATTGTATATGATTATAAAAAACCATTTAAAATGGAATCAAATAATATCATAATATTATAAATATTTACAATTAAATTTAAATAGTGAAAACTCGACTCGACTTGAAAAGATTTCAAATCATGTTTGAGTTATAAAATAGAACTTGTCAATTTAAATAACTCAAATTTTTTTGACTCGACTTAATCGAACACTCATCCTTAGGAAAAAAAATGAGCTGTATTTCTTCTTAATTTGTTTTTTTAATGAGAGATTCTCCCATAATGGTACAAGTTTTACTTTGCACCATAAATCCTTTTTATCCCAATTTATTCCTTACAATGTCTTTTTCAACATATAATTTTAAAAAATATGATAGAATAAAGATGAATAGTTTGATCAACCGATCAAATGTGCTCAAATTAGGATATCAATAAAAATATAACACATGTCATATTAGATATCAATAATTTTTTTTGATCAAATTAGAATAGAAAATAATAATTTAAGGGATAAATTGAGAAAAAAATAATTTAGGGTGCAAAGTGGAAAAGTATATATATTAACCGATAAATTGTGAATTTAATAGGAAATTAAAGTAGTTTTACACCATTTCATAACTTTTTTGCAAAATTCATATTAAGCAATCCAATGTTATTTTTTTAATATAATTTTACTTATCATATAAATTCTTAAATTGACTCAATATTTCTACTTTCAGAATCAAGAATTATATTTTTATTATAATCTATATAAGTTTGATTGTGTTTAAATGTACAATATATTTATATTTATGAGGTCTGGGAAAGATTTGAATAATATAAATATTATGTCAAAAAACCTTATAAGCCAATCAAACATGAAAATCAAGTGAATGGCAGAGGCATATAGCTACATACATATTCTATGCCCGAGTTGAGCCCTTTCTCAAGGACCTATCAAGGGATGCTTCAACTCACCTCGGGAAGCATTGTTAAAATAGGTATATAAGGCCAATTGGAGAGTCCCTAAACCCGTTCCAATTCCATTTGGTACCTGTTTTCAAAGGAAGAGCAAGACTTGGCTAGTTATCGATCAGTTGGCATTGGATCAAAATATAAAACAGCTAAAAAAAAACTTACATAGAGGAAAGCATCATGCTTCAACATTCCATATACAAAGAAAGCCAGACTCATCATGAATGTTGCAAGAGACAGCGAGAACGGCATGTACTCGACGCTTCTGGTTTTCATCACCAGATTCTGCCGTAGGAACACGAGTGAGAAGGAATTACGACATCCGATGGTTGAAAATGAAATTACGATTAACTTACGATTATAAGTAGAGGAGAAGCAAACATGGAAATCAGAGACGCAACACTTAGATAACCGACGAAAAGTTTCCGTGACGGGGCATCCAAGAATTTCAGGCTAACGAAAACTACGGCAGCAAATATTGCAGAAACTGATACCAAGAATCCCAGCATCTTCAACTGATACAATCATGTCAAAAGTCATATAAAAAGGGCATTTCTAGTTGGATCATCGCTCCATAGAAGATTGTTTTCTTAAGTACCTTCATTGGCTTTTCAGCATATACAACAAAAATGCCAATGTAAATCAACTGGAAAATTGCTCCAATGGAATTGACCGTTGCCACCAGGATAATACCAGGGGATACAAAGGGCAGGCCGTACCAGAGACATATCAAGCAATTCAGGAAAGCATACATGTATGGCATTCCTGAGAACTGTTCTGTTGATCCATTTCTGATTATTCTCCTAAATGTTGATCTGTAAAAGAAAATACAAGAAAGTTTGTATAAATAAGCCTTGCAGTTCAGCATTTTTTTTCATACAATCTTTGCTTCTGTCCTACAGAAAGTTTGAAATCACTTACATAGGTGACAAGAACAGCACAAAAGCAAAGATGTTACCTGAAAAAAATAACATTGAAATCAACAGATATTCGGTTTTATTGATATTCAGCTTGAGAGACAAGTAAGGGGGAAAACATAGCAGGCTACCTGCAACCCCAGCTGCATCACTGCAAACTGCATAAACTGAAAATACCACTGTTGAATACATTTGCAAATCTTTAAATTAAGCCACTAGCTTTTATTGTAGATAATTGCCATGACAACGGTGACTTCCACCCTCAGGGTCACAATCAATCAGTTTAAAAACATGTCAGCCAGGAGGATTATATCTTTTACAGGGGAAAAAAATAGATGGTTCAACCTAGTCCAAGACATATATATATATATATATATATATTTACTTTTCTGATATATCATTGCCATTTTCCCAGAAATTAAGTGACGGAGAACTCATGTGTTTCATGTAAACCTGACCACAAAAACTGATGATCATAGACAACTTCAAATGGTTCTTTAACTCATCCTGATGATGTGTGAGACTTCTCTACTTGTACGTTTCTTGTGCAAGCCACATGTTTTATAAGCCTATAATATACTTACGTGGATATTCTAATCCATCCAGTTATCGGAAAATTGTATAAATCATCCCTCAACTTTCCTTTCATTCCTATTTTGGTCATTAAACTTAAAGATTTATCCATCAACTTTTGAATTAGTACTTTATTTGGTTATTACACTGTTAAATAATTAATGACGTTATGACATGAAAGACGGCACCAAAACAATATCATTTTAGATATGTCAAATTTACACAAAAATGACGTCGTTTTAGATCCCTATATATTTTTTCTCTTTTTTTCTTTCTTTTTCCCCTCTCAACTTACCTAGATTTTGGCCACCTTTCGTTGCAACCAACCATCATGTCGACCATCATCTGCTAACATTAGTGGTGAACGATTAGTTCATAAATTTTCCACCAAATTTGTTTCGCCTTCTAAAACTTGAATATAGTATATGTTTAATCCGAAAACACCATAAACTCCACAAATCTAACATTGAATGCTCGAGCTCCTTATTCTTTGATCTTCGTGTCATATGTTGTTGGATGGAACCTGAATGGAAATATGTTGCTCCCCGCTCCAAAAAGGGGTTTCCACATGATTAGGATCTTCGAATAACAGCTCTGATTATTGAAGATCCATCCGCCAACCAAAACTCCACTCGAAAACCAAATCCAAAACACTTGGTTCATTGTTATTGGTAGTGTGATAGGTCCCTACCGAAACTATGTTATTGTACGTGATGTCCTACGATTCCTCACCACTTAAACTTGCGATCGCCCCCTGTGCTCTTAAACGCCAATGAACTAAAGACGATAAACCTCTCTCTCATTTTTAAAATTTTTCTATCTTCATTTATCGTCATTATTTGTAGGTTCTTACTTTTCTTTTTTATTTTATGCAAGTTCAAGTCATGACACGATTGAAGGTTATGGGTTTCGAATTAAAGTTATTGGGTGTTTCAAGTGAAGGTAGATGAATAGTTCAACGATAATAAAAGAAAGGTTCAATTAAGTTTTGTGTCGATTTGAGGTTGAGGTAAAATTTGGTTTGAGTTAAAAATAATAATTCGATGATTTAAATAAAGATTCAATGATTTAATTAAGTTAAACGAATGATTGTGATTATATTATTGAGGGTCAAATTGAACTATAAAGCTAATTTAAATATTTAATAAAATAAAACAAATAAATATCAAGTTACACTTTTAAAAATAAATCCAAATATCAAAATGTGTACCTACATTCCTTTATGTAATATGATTTAGTATTTTCAATTCCATCGAGTTTGAGGCCCAATTGTTCTCAAAATACAATTCATGTCTGGTATTTGTTTAAATTTTCTATGAAACTTGGTTTTAACTTTTACTCCTTTTCTGTCTCCTGACCAAAAATTCGAAGTGGGTTCTTTTCAATTAGGAAGAATGAAATCAATGGCTTTTAGTTCTACTCATTCAAGAAGGTATCCGTTATCTACATGGCCCAAAAGCAAGGTTGATAAATTGAAATTCCAAGCTATCATTTTTTGCAGGTTGCCATCTTGTTTTTTTACCCAAAATTTCTAATTGAAAAAGGTTGAAACTTTTGTTTTTCAGGTTCAAAGAAACGAAGTGACTTTTTCATTGGTTTCTGGGTTTCAATTTCCAGAACTCCCTGCGTTAAATGTTCTCAGAAGATGGGTGAACAATCACTGAGCTTTTCCAGAGCTGTTGAGAAGTAGGTGATATTTTAAATTTTGAAATCAATATCAAAATATTTCATTATAATCTTTAACACAGAAGACCAAAATTATAAAATTTTCAAGTGTGCAGGAAGCCAGTGAAGAAGGCGGGGAAGACCGAGCATCACTCGTGGAAGAAAAGAGATTCAGCTGGCTCGGACAAAAGGCACTCAATCTTTTTAGAATTGTAAGTTAAATTTGCTCTTTTTTCTCTATATTGAGTACTGTTTTCAGCTATGCTGTATATTATAGTACTTTAAGATAACTAAAACTACTGATTCTATATGTAAAATGAGCAGATTTCTCAACTTTCCAATGAGAAAGAGATTGTTTATGGAGCATTGGACAAATGGGTGGCTTGGGAAACCGAGTTTCCTTCGATTGCTGCTGCCAAGGCTTTACGAATTTTGAGGAAGAGGAGCCAATGGCTGCGAGTAATTCAAGTATGTTGATATTCTTGCTACGTGTTTTTCAGCTTCTGAAGTGGTATCATTGATGTAGAGAAGCTTTATTTGTTCAATAATTTTCGATTACTTTCTAGTCAAGCTAAATATGTGGAGCCTTTGCTGTAGATACTGTTCCTGATATGTTAATGCTGAATGATCATTTGTTGTGCTTCTACTTATTCAACCTGTTTGTCAAGATGCTATAATTATGTTGATATTCTTGCTACGTGTTTTTCAGCTTCTGAAGTGGTATCATTGATGTAGAGAAGCTTTATTTGTTCAATAATTTTCGATTACTTTCTAGTCAAGCTAAATATGTGGAGCCTTTGCTGTAGATACTGTTCCTGTATATGTTAATGCTGAATGATCATTTGTTGTGCTTCTACTTATTCAACCTGTTTGTTCAAGATGCTATAATTTAAGTTGTAATCGCTGGCTTACTGATACTCAGTTGGCGAAGTGGATGTTGAGCAAAGGCCAAGGAGCTACGATGGGAACATGACACCCTTATACTCGCGTTTGATATGGATAACAGAGTGGATGAGGCTGAATTGTTGTGGAACATGGTTCTGCATACACACACACATTCTATCTCAAAGCGATTGTTTTCTAGGATGATCTCTTTATTTGATCATCATGACATGCCAGATAAGATAATAGAGGTATGCCAATCACCATCCCAAATGCCATACAAAATCAGTTCAGATGTTTTATTTGACACCCCTAAACCGTTTTTGAGAATTCTTACCAAATGAAGCAATATTATGTTGGTTCTAAGTTATTAGTTCTGATTTCAAAGGTATTTGCCGACATGGAGGAGTTGTGTGTCAGACCAGATGAAAACACGGTAAGTAGCATGTGCTTTTAAGAAACTAGGCCAAGAAGACAAGCAGAAGTTGGTTCTTAGAAGATACATGAGTAGATGGAAGTTCATCCCCTTTAATGGTGAACGGGTTAGAGTGAAATGATATACATCGGATGAAGGTTGATGTTGAATCGAGTGAATGCCATTTCTCTGGGCATCAATGACATAATACAAGTTTGTATCTGTTCTGTTTGACCTTGCCAATCAGGTACGTGGAATTATGATTTTGGCGACAAGGCATTTTGTTTGCTTCCCTTGAGAGGCAGCAAATCATTTTTGTTGGGATGTTCCCTGCACATAACCTTGGCTTGTATGTTCAAGCCTCTTCTTCGATTATCTGAGGATATATATGTGTATATATGCAGAAAGACGGCCGAAAAGTGTTTTTGTTGTTAATGTAGGACATTGTTCCTCCTTTTTTTTTAGATGTTTTCCTTGTAAGAATGTTGTCTTCAGATCATCAATGGTTCAATTGAAATATTTAGATAGTATTAGTAGAGTTCTGGAACTCCTGGTGGCAGTTCGACCTTAAAGAAGTATATTACACTGTTGCATCTGGCCAACATTTTACTGTCAACGAATGGATAATTGGTAAGTGCAGCTTTTGAATTGTTTTAACTCTTCTTGCCATTGATACTGAACTGAAGCAACTCAAAGAAGAATCGATGAACTGAAATAATTTGATTTTGACATTCAAAAAACCAAATTTTATTTCAAAAAAGAATGATCATGTGATGTGAAGAAAAAAGAGATTAAAATTAATTCAGTATGAACAGCATGAAAGGGCGGTTACATAGAAATACTAACAAGACATTTTCAAGATTTCAGTGGACTTAGGTGCCTCTAACTACCCTCCGCAGCAGATTTTCCTGTGTTCATATTGTCAATCCTGGTGTTTGTCAGCTCTACTAAGAGGTGCACCACACCGTTTGGTGATTTAAGGAAATACCGAGCGTTTGATCTTTTCCAAGCTATAGAGCAAGGAAAATAGTTGTCCCCCGAAAGGTCAAGCACTGAAAAACCCTCTTGGAACGACGTTCTATCTTCTGCCCTTGATTTAATAACATCTCCACTTACGTGATAGCTTGAGTTACTCTCAATCACCGATGCACGATCTTCCCTGGGTACGCTTTTACTCGTCGATAATTTTGAAACAGATGTCCTGACTGGTGGTGTTACATGGGATCTTACGGGAGTCGGGACTTCTGAAGGAAGCTCTAGCTCGAAAAAGGTATAAATGTCTTCATCCTGAACCAATGGCAGAATAACAGTTTGGGTATCAGAATAATGGCCTCTTAGTGCTCAGTTGGGTAAACAGATGGGAACTGCTTTAAGTCACAGAAGAGTATATTTGACAGTTTGGAATTGCAGCAGAGCACGACATAAATCAATGGAGTGTCCTCAAACCAAATATTTTTATACAAGGAATACCTCAAAATAAAGAAAAACACCTAAAAGTTGGTGGCTGAAACACGCACCTTAGCTAGAAAGTTCCCTATACAAAGGACTAAATCAATGGGTTCCTTCATGCCTTAGTTATGACCAATTTCTCCAAGGATTCGATCGATCGCTGCACCCTAATATATATTCATCAAAGCATGAGAAAAGAAAACCTGTGATACTGATGAATGAATACCAGTAAAGCATACCTTTGTAACACCGACGGATCGACCCTCCACGGACCGGCTGCCTTGGACTACATCAAGAGATGCATTAGAGATTGGACCTGTCCAAAGATGCTGCAACAGATCCCTAGCTTGAAGTCTTCCAAATTCAACATCTAGAGTTTTAATTAAGTTGTTCAGAAGATGGATCAATAACGCAAGAAAACAACATTAAGCTTAAATTCATGTGATTATTATATGCCAAACAGAAGAGACAATATGAATTAGCTGGAGTTTATTGGTGAGGACCTGCATATTTATAGTTCCATATAAGTGAAGTTTCCCGGAGCTCAAAATGAGATCGAGGAGTTCTTGCAGTAAAATATTCGAATACATGCTGAAATCATGAATAAGCATCAGAAAGTTAGAACCAGAAGAACTCCATGTGAATTAATCTTTATCTAAAGCATATATATTTACCTGGATACTATCCACCCATTTCATAATTAAATTTTCTGGCATTGTTGCCATCCAATCTCCTTTCGTAGCTCGTAAGAACATTCCGTTCTCTGCTGCCAACCACAAGATGAAATCACCGAAGTTCTGTACAGCAAATTAGTTCAAGAGATTTGAAAGAGAAAGGGCAAGCATTTATATTCAGAAAAGTATGAACAAGCATACATCATCAGGACACTTCTATCACTTCCACTGAGGACAAGAATTGTAGTCCTAGGATCATCACAAAGTTTTCTCAAAGGTTCTCATAAATCCGGGTGCAACTTGGGTTCCATTTCTTTAATTTGACTGCCCTTCCCCCAAGGGTATCCTCTGGTTCAGTTAAAGTTGCATTGAATCCCTGGAACATGGAGGTGTGATCATGAAAATGAAAGGGCAACTCATAAGGAACTGATTTTCCTCAATTCTCTTCCCAAAATGTTCCAAGTGCTGGAATTGTCAAATAAAGAAAGATGATGTGTAAAAAAACACACACACACACACACAATACCAGTATCAGCAGTGGGTTATTTGATTGTGAGTAACGATCAATTGCAACTTCAATTGGAAGCGGTGGTGGAATTTGTCTTGTCCTTAATTGAGCTTCAATTATGGTATCATTAAGTTCACTACAAAGGAGATCTTTTATTAAAAACATTGAAACGAGAGAAAGACCCAAGGAAAACCACTCAATCATCCATTTCCAATTCCATCAAGATCTTGAAAAGAACAGAAAAAGCTACTGTTCTCTTTGCGTTTTCATCGACAAAAACATGAAGGAAAAGAATGGCTGGTAAGCCTTATTTCAGCTCTTCCTGTCACATGATAAACACCGGTGGGACTCTCCCTCACATCCTCGAGTTTTCATCAAAGAAATTACCAGTACTAAGTTATGATCAAATACCTTACAAAAGTTGCAGCCCACTCTTGAGATGTGTGTGTAGTTACATGCACAAAGTTATGGTGGTGCCGTTTCTCTTTCATCGGCTGCCATATTCAAAGCATAACCAATTGAAGAAGCAACTTCAGTGACATTCCATGTTTTAAACAAAAGGGCTCCAGCACCAAGGGACTGAGTAGCCCCTGCAAACTAGAACTAAGCAGAGGCGTTACTATGAAAATTTAAGACTTCGCGAAAAGCAATGAACTAATTTATTCCAAATCAGATTCAAGTACCTCACTTAATATAAGGACCCCTTTCTTGGAAGCTTGGCAGGCAACAAACTCATAGCTAGGGATGGCAATGGGTCGGGTTGGGTCGACCCGACCCGAGAAGAAAGGGTCATCCATCCGTGACCCGACCCAACCCGACGAAATTAAGGTTTCACCCGACCCGACCCGACCCGAAATAAAAAAATATTTTTATTCAATAAAAACAGTGACTTAATTGAAAAAAATTATATATAGAGGGGTATTATTGTAATTATCCATAAATATATAGGGTAAAATTATATATATTTTTCAGGTCGGGTCGGGTCGGATTTTTTCTATCCTAAACCCTACCCGACCCGAACCCGAATTTTTTTAAAAAAAATCCGACCTGATCGGGTCGGGTCGGATCGGAACCCGTCGGGTTCGGATTGAGTCGCCATCCCTACTCATAGCTGACAAGGTTCATTCCATCCCTCAAAGATGTTACAAGAGCTACATCTGCACAATTAATTAATGGACAGAAGTTTGGAATTGCGTGAGAGATGTTATCATGGGGGGAAAATAAGAAAATAGAGATTGAAAATTGTGTTATTGCACGTACCAGTAACAGCATATAGTGCACATAATGAATAAAAATCAAGAGAACGATCCTGTACCAGAGTAAGGAAATGCATAATCTTTACACAATCAATCAACAATAACGGGCAGACAAATACGGAAAATATGAGCTAAAACATGTAAGCATGCTGAAAGTAGTAGTAAAGGGTAAGACAATTTTTTGTCTTAAGCAACTAAAATCAATGATCCCATCGGGGGAAAAAATTGAAGCTCCTCCTTAATGTCTTCATTGCAGTGCATCAACATAGAAATCATAAACATTCCATTGTATGTTCTTGTGTATCCATGCATTAAGCATAGTTTTAGAACATGAGCTAATAACTTATATCTGTTCTTTAAATCATCTGTCATTGTTTATCGATAAGATAAAACCATCTAAACACTTCAAATTAGAATTTTGCATGGTTTCACTGAAATTTCCTTAAAGTGACTCAATAAGTAGAAGAAAGTGAATGAGATAGAACTTAGACATCCGTCCAGTCTGCATCTTTCATACTGACCATTAAACCTTTTGTTCTATGAAATTAAGAAAATAAAAATGCAAGATTATGACAGGGAGGGGGGAAGAAAGCAACATTAACATTAGCAAACAAATAATGTCAACTATAGTAAAGAAATCCTGCAATTATCAGCAAAAGTCAAGGAATTTTTAAAGTAATCTAGTAGAAGAAGAAAAATGTTGTATAAAGGAACATACACTCAGTAACATCAGTCCTGGTAGGGACAGCAATTTGCAGGAGAACCACCTTATCACGCCAATGAGGATTTTCCTTGAGGAATTTTTCAAATGCCAAAACTTAAGGGTGCGTTTGGTTCACAGAATGTAAGATTATCAGTGGGAATAAAAGATTACCAGGGAATATGATTACTGTGTTTGGTTGGTTTGGCAGGAATGAAAGATTACAGTGTTTGGTTGAAAGAATAAAATATTACTGGAATGTATATTTTACCAAATTGTCATTGTTCTATATTTTTAACAAGTAAAATTCTAAATATTTAAATAAAATTATTTAGATAAAAATTCTATTTGTTGATAATATATTATTTTAGTATTTAAATATATCATGTATTATTTTAATTTAATTAATATTTAATTTTACATAATTTATGTAAAAATATGTTAAAATTTTACATCAACATTTAACTAAAAATATATTTGTAGGGTAAAAATGATGCCCTATTTAACAATAGAAGCTGTAGCGAAAACCAAATTTTTGAACTGACACAGTTTGTATAAAAATTTTGATACATAATTATTGGGTAAATAAATTATGTTTGAATGAATAGGATTTTATTTGTATTTGTTTATATATTTTTATAAGTATTTATGTTTAATTTGTATTCATTTAATTGTTAGTGTTGTATTTGTGTTCGTTTATTTGAAGGTATTTATGTTCACTTATTTATTTTTTAAGGTGTTAGTGTTCGTTCGTATAGTGCTTACGAATATATTCATTTAATGTTCGTTTATATGTTCACGAACGTATTCATTTGGTAAAATTATGTTACTACTAAGAACTTTTCAAGCTTCATATTTTAACCTCTAAATTTCATCATGTGTTCAATTTAGTTAACTCTAACCTGGATTCTAAGGTTGAGCCCTACGCCCCATCGTTCTTAGGAAGTATAAAATAAACACACATTCTATTATAGTTGCTGCTGAACTCTCGACAATCCACAATCATACTAAACAAGCTTATATCGATAGCATCGGTATGAAAATTCATTGAAAAGAACTAGCGACAAGATCACCGAAAAACATGACTCATTGTATCTACATCTAAGCTTTGCCAAGAGTTGGAGAAAGTTTGGCATGTCTACTTCATCCTTGAACTTGCAGCAAGCCTATGGTTGGAAGGTCTATAGCAGCACATCACATATCTTCCAACAATGTTTTCCACATGCAAAGGGCCCCTGGTTATCGATCAACATCGATGACATGATTGCATTTACATCATGAATTCACATTTCAAATGATGTACAAAAAGAGGAACAAAGAATATCATAGCCAAATCAAAACGTTCAACAAGATGCTATCACGGATCGTTAAGCTCTGCAGGTGTCTTTCAGGAATAAAGTATGTTCTAAACTATATCCATGTACCAAGAATCATAAAGAACAAAAGAAAATAGAGCTGAACACAGAAGAAACTAAAAAACAAAAGGAGGATCTAGTTTTAGAAGAGTGGGAATTCTATGTAAAAGATATTAATTTTCCCAGTGACACTTAATTTGAAGGTAAAAGATAATTTTTTTTGCGTAATTACAAAACTTGACAAGATTTTTTACATGGTTTTGTGTAATCACAAAAATTGATCGCTGCAAATTTCATGCCTTCTCGATGTTTTAACGTCAAATTGACCTTTTTACAGTTTCTAGAAACTGTCTGGTTCGAGTGTGAAGGAAATTACTAGAGCCATGTCAGAACCAAACATGAGCAGCACCTTGCCTCAATGCTTTAAACAATGTTATTTAACATTGTCACAAATATTTTCTATGAACATTGTTACAAAAGATAATAGCCATGACATTCTAAACTTAATCATATATGTTGGTTATATTATATACACAAAAATTCTCCAAGTCAAAAGCTTGACATATAACTGGATAAGCTACACAAAAAAATTGGGACCATATTCTAAAGTCATAATCAAAAAGAGATTGACATAATTGTAGAAGGACCACAATCAAAAGGATGGTCTAAAGTGATGACATTCAACTAATTGCTTAATCACATAATCTTTTTTGAATTCTTTTGGCAAAGAAAAGAAGAAATCTACCTTGTGCGCATCTTTGCTAATATACTCTCCTGCAGTAAGCATTTCATCATTGGATAGGCCTTTAATTTTCATGATTTCTGTGAAAATCGACATTCTTCGATAATTTCCTTCCACCTCATTTTTCAATAAAGTAGTAATATCCTTAATTTCTTTGGCAGTTTCTCGGTATGCAGCACCAAACTTACTTATCTCCTGTACAAGCTCGGTTAACCCATCATCACTTCGAGACCTTTTCTTGCTAGCTACTTTTTTCATTGCAGGGGTAGAGGCAGTGGCATCAGATGTTTGGCAAGTTGAAGCACCAACATTCTCTCTTGATTCAGAATCTCTTACTCCCTCGTCTTCAAGTAATGCATCTATAAA